TCCATTTGTTTGAACTATTGGGCAATTTTCCGTCAATCAAATTTCAATCTGTAAGTGCAATAAATTCCCATACTGCTCTCACACACGCAACATAAGAAAGGCGAGTGACTAAGCAAAACAAAGGGCCATGTTTCAGAGTTAGGAGAGCGCCCACTCATTCTGCACTTCAAAGAGAAAAGTATGATTCTGCTCAAGTGGTGTCAACGTCTGCACACAATTTCTGTTAATAACTTGTTCCGAGAGAAGGGATCTGGAAGCAATTTGTGATAGCACAGCCACGTTTTTTCCTTTTCCTCTAACAAAAGTTATTCTAACTATTGACCTTTTACTGGGCTTGAATGGCATTTCCAAGCATTGTGCGATGCCACTGCTGCTCTCAAACGGAACTTTTTTAATTCTGTGCGTCAGTGTTGTTTCAGGCCTCCTCTCCGGGGTAAAGCACTTAAACTATTACGGTATGCTCGTTCTTTCACCATGCTGTTCCAACAGTGGGCCGTTCTGCTTTCCATGCACTGTAACACATGATACATTCAATTCCAAACAACTTGAAGTTATGAGGATTTTTGATTTCAAGGAGAGGCAACTGAAATGTGTATAGTTGTTTTGACGAGTCACTAAAAACTGTGAATGTGTGTCACTTGTTTTACAGTTTCTTTCACTTCAAGTCTATCACATTAGAACATTGCCACTTCGATCTCACACAGAAAGAGGATTGAGTTGGCTGCTTTGCTTTATGATGTGTTAAAGCAACCTGCTGAGCTCCCTTCCTTTAACACTGCTGCTCCCTTGTGGTGTATTCAGATATGATTTGACAAAGTGTAAAATTGAACAGTCTCAGGTGATTAATTAGCACCAAGAAGAGATGGATTGGGTTCATTCCTGTTGCAAGAGCTAGTGAATACGATTATTAGCCTTTAAAAATAGGTATAATATAAAAACAGGTGCGGGCTTTGTTGTTTGATTTTCACAAAAAAGGGTGCATTTTCTCTTCTAAATCCAAATAAATGCTTCAGTCTGTTTTGTGATATATTTGCATGTTGTAATCGATCTTGCCTTGCCAATTAGATCGGCCGTATTGAATTAATGTGACGATAAGTGTTAATTTATTTGGTGGATGGTTGCATTTTAGAAATCTGATTACTGAAAGCCAACACCTTCACATCACTCCAGTCCTAATGTCTCTCAGTCATATCCGTGTCCTGCTGCCCCCCCCCCACCCTCATCCCAGCCTGGTCTCTCACTAAAGCAATCAGGTAAATCCCACATTACTCCTGGGAAACAGCCCATTAATATTTCACTTGTTTCCAAGCCTGTTTGTGCCATACATCAATGCCCAACCACTCCTTTCAAAGCCATACATTAGAACTATTTTCAAAATACTTCATTGTCAGCCTGTGGCAGCCTCATTACTTATTAAGATAAGAGAAAAGATGTGCAGGAGCAGTTGGTGGCTCAGCTTGCTTTAAAAGCTCCTTTCTACTGTTTCCTCCGCCTGCCTCCTCATCCTCCTCTGAACCGCTTTGTGTGCTAACACTGTCAGAGAGCCGTTAGGAAGTTGCTTGGCCGAAAATAAGTGGGATGTTAGTTTAGTTAAGGGAGAAGAAAAACATGCCTGCCGTGCCGGGGAAAGTGTTCTAAAATAACTGCACAGTCGGCTGCTTTAAAGCCTTTCAGTATTTATAACGCACCAGTAGGGCCTTACATCTGCAAGAGGGTTGTAAACAGCGAAACATTTGGATGACATATCATGTAAAGCTGTATTCTAGTAACTGTAATCGTATAATTAGCATATCAAATGATGGAAAAATGCATCTCCTAACTCACAAGAACAGAATGTGTCAGTATGATTTATTCAGGCAAATATGTTTAATTACCACAACTGTATTTCTGTACTGAAAACTGGTTAAAACGGCTTTTAAATATGCTGCCACCACAGCTTGGAACAATGTACAGAAGGAGCTGAAACTCTCATATTTAATCACTATGGGGGAATTCAGGTCCATCTTAAAGGACAGAGAACATGACACCATTGGTAGATGTGAGTGCTCGTATATCTTAAAATCGTTTAAAATGTTGCCAGTTTTTAAAGATTTTTAAAAGTTTGTTTTATTTCGCATAGTGACTGGCTAATGTGCCATTTTATTTGTGTTTTACAGCTGTATTTGTCTGCCTGTCTTGTCTGTGTTTTATCTGTTGCAACTTTGTTCATGCTGCCCTTCTTAGCCAGGTCACTCTTGGAAAAGAGATTTTAATCTCAATGAGTCTTTTTACCTGGTTAAATAAAGGATATATATATATATGTACTACTTCAATTAGTTTAGACAACAAAACAACTGTGAGTAGGATGCTGGACTATGAGTTAATAAGATTACCAAAAATGTACAGTATGAATTAGAAAAAGTAAATGCTACACTACTTTATCAAGAGAAATCAAATCATTAGTTTTACTTCGGTTTATGACATTTTTTGTCGACAATCATTCAACCAATCGACTTTACACTTGTCTATTGAGAGAGAGATATGTATTAGTTATGAATACACTGTGTAGTCTATTCAGGAGACATATAAACGGTTACACTGCTGAAAAGCATGCTGGGTAAAACTCACTCTCCGGCACTCAATACACTACAAAAACAGATAAAGAAAGACGGACCAGAAAAAGACACATATTTATTCGGAATCTTTTTGACAACCACTTCTCCGATCAACTTCAAACGTGGCAGGTGTATTGCTCATGAGACAAAAAGTGCATCGTTGAGTCGTTTAAATTAGCCGTATTTATGCAAGCAATACATAAGGACAAACTAATTCCAAACAGGCAGGTTGCAAACGGACACTGCACTAGTTCATATTAATTCTCATGGCCTAATAGCTGGATCAAAACCACACTGGGAATGTCACCTCAGGCGTATCAGGAGTATCTGGAGAGCGGTTACAAAAGATAAGAAGGAATACACCGCCATAAAGGTGGGGGGTGACAACAAAAGAGACGTTGCAGCGTTATTGCCTCATCCTCTCTGGCAAAACATATTCAATTGCTATGAAGGGTGTTCAAAATCTACTACAAAAGGAAGAAAAGATCAGAGAGGAAGAAAGTTATAATCTTATGATACTGTCACTCTTTCAACATGATGGCATATCTTTGTAACCTTTGGGAAACACTTACATTTCTATCCATCAAATCTGTCGACAGCAGAGGGATTTTGTTTTGAAGTGTTTTCAAAATAATGTATGAATATTACATCATATATCTTTTAAATCTGAAGGCCCAAATATAGGGAGACTATCTGTCAGGTTCATGAATGAAAACCAAGAAAAGGAGGAAGGAAAAACGCAGGTTTTACTCGTGGAGGTCAACACTGGGTTAGAAGGAAACTGTGTCTGTCATTAGTTTCTCAAGTGTCATAAAAATTGCTAGTCACGATGAAAAAGTATCGTGAAACAGTATGTTGTCTGTGTAGAAGCAGTATTGACTTAATCTGGTAATTCACCATGTGTCAAAGACCTGTATCCACAAATTAGTCTGATATCTACTGTAAACTGAATTCAGTCATTTTAATGGACAATTATTTGAGTTAAACGACATTTTGACTTGTCATAGCAGAGAAAGCACAGGTGTGAGTAATAACACTAATTATAGCTCTGTTCCATTCGGGTTAAATGGCTCTTTAGCATGACTTGACTCCGAACCTGGAAGTAGAATTTAGCCATCATTCATTTTTGATTAATTACACCTGTGCTTTACTGATGTCAACATGTCTTCAGAAGTGACAGCCCAGTGACAAGACAGGGGCCCGTGCTACTGCACCTTCGCATAGGCACTTTGCAATATTTAGGCGCCGTTTACACGAGGAGAAAACTGCTTGTATCTGCATAGTTTCGCGTGCGTATAGCCCTATTATTTACACGAGGCCGATAGAAACTGACCCCACAAACGATAACGGGTCCCAAGGTGGATAGATTTGCAAACGAAACGCTCTGGGGGGTCAACCGAGTCCGTGTAATCACCTCGATACGAATATTTCCTGAAACTACATGTTGCTAAATACACCGCGGGGCTTAAACAGAGCCATGGCAACATTGCGGCGGGGCTGCTCTTCTTCGCTGCTTTTGGTGTATTTTGGCGGAAGTTACAGCGCCACTTACAGTCCCGGCATATGTACTACAGCGTTTCCAGCGGCCTCGTTTGAACAGACACGTTAAATGAAACGCATGTGAACGGAAGACTTTTTTGAATACGCATACTGTGCATAAACGCAAACGTTCCCGTGTGAGTGGGGCCTTACTCAAGAACTGTACTAAGAATAATTTTGATATCACTTTACCTGAGAATTTTCATTCTATGATACTTTTTACTTCTGCTTTACTACATGTTGAAAGCAAATAATGTACTTTTTAGTCCACTACATTCATTTTAACACTCATACTAGTTACTTTACAGATTCAGATCATCACATTATACAAAATATAAATCAATGTGTAAGTAAATATTGACATGTAATTGTTTATGAGTTAAGATATCCAGCATGAGAAATTCAATTAGCTTTACCACCTTAATGCATTAATATAAACAATGGGCCATTAGGCATGACAAGTACTCTACTTTAAGTACATTTTATGCCATTTATTTTGTACTTTTACTTGTAACAGAGTATTTCTAAATGTATTATTGCTGTTTTTATTTATATTATCGAGTTATTTTGCAACCTCTGGATAGAAAAACGTAGCCCATTACTGTATGTGTTGCATCAAAACCACCAAAGTAAAACAACAGGAGGGGAAACCACTGCATGCAGTTAGCCTACTACCATACTTTTAGGTAGGCTATAGGATGCTAATGAGTATTAGACGGATGAAAGCAAAGCTAAATCCAACCATAACATACTTTTATCAAGCTACGTAGCAAAGTTGCTAGTGCGCTTATGTTGAGTACATTTTTAAAAGCATGTGTACATATTATCGAAAAAATGTGTGTAGAAAACTGGGGGTTAATATTTTACCTCATACGAAGTATCATTGTTTCAGTCAGTAGCCTCGTTATGAAGCAGGTGCTGTTAGCGAGTTAGCATCTCCTTCCTCATCATGTCCTCGCGCTGCTCCTCCCGTCGACAGGTGCATGCATTAAACTCACGGTGGTCAGTTTATTGTGGTCAATTTTGCAACTTTTCTCCGCTATTCATGTTCTTTTTTTTCCGCTTCCTGAAAATATTATCGTTCTGCAAACTTTCTCCCAACTTTCTTCCCTCCAGGTGAGTAACCTTTCACCTCTGACCTCTGTCTGTTCTCCCGTCATCCTCGCTGCCTCACTGCAGTGAATAAATGCACAAATCCAACCAAGCCAACTTCCCTACACTTTATTCATGAATGAGGAATCAAATCAGTATATTACTGGAAGTCATAAAAAACGTTATGAAGACCTGTCAGTTATTAAATAAATGTTAAACTCAATTTTACATTTATAAATAATTTCTCTTTTTTGTTAGAAAATGTTCTATGTATCTGTATCAATGTATCCCTGTATCAGCAGGTGAGAAATACACAATAATTATTGCTGTACATTACTAATAGCCAAAGTCATATGTCTTAACATTAAGGTTACTTGTCTGTGTTCTAGAAAACTACACAAATATACGGTTTCCTTTGAAAATAATGAAAAACTGAATTTAAGATTGAAAGACACATTAATTATCTAACAATTTAAAGAATATATCAGGATAAATGAAACGTTTAATATATCAAAATGCAACATGAAGGACATTTAGGGACATTTGTTTGAGGGAATTAGTTGCCCTAGTTTAGAACATTAGATATGAAACAACCTTAAATATCTGGTTGTTTACTTTAAAACAATTGTATACTACAGTACTTTTTATAATGAGTCCTTTGATTTTAACACCATGTCACACACTCCTAAAGTCTCCAGCTTGTTTTTGGGACTCGGGTCAAGTAAAACGTTATCTCCACAAACTTGCTCTCTCTTTTGTTCTGACATGTTGTTCATACTTTAACGTGAGGCTAAGTATGAACATTTTCATTGTTGATAAAGATATGATACGTTGTTGGGGGTACTGACAACAACAACAACCTCACACAACATTGTTTTTATCACACAGGAACATTTTATTGCTTGGAGCCAGTGAAATAAGATTGTGCATGTTTCACTTGATATATGCTGCTGACATTGTGCTTTTAAACTTATTATACACCTAAAATAAAATATAATATCAAAGCAATATCCCTCTTTTTTTGGATTTACTGGTAGCATTAAATCATCGGTAAGAAGTAACACTGTTCTTTGTATCCCTTCAGTTGGCTGCACTGTTTTCGTTATCTCAAAATAAATTATTGGAGATGTTCACCAAACTAAAAAGACGGTACACTATTCACGATACAGCCAACTGTAATAAAGGCGAAGCTTGGTCAGCACAGGTAGGTTGATTAATGACTGAAGTAAGGCTATATTTTTCAAACCACTCTCAAAGTGGGCACTTCTATGCACTTTTCCTAATGGTTTACAAAAGCCGCTGGAGGGGGGCCGGCAGGTACAGTGCAGGGAGCATCATCTGTTCCCTAGCAGATTACTTACACTGTGCCTTTATCAGCCATCTAAACTCAGGCTATTAGTCATCACACAGCAGACGACAAGCCCCGGAAACTGAGCATTTACTGTTAAATGGTGATGAATGGAGCAGCCCTTCAATGGTCATACATCACACAGGCATCACGTACACATCGATCTCTCATCTCTCTCGGGATTATAGAGGTTAGTCATTTGGGCCTCACATTTAAAAATATGGTTACACCAAAATCTGTAAAAGTGGGATTTTTTAAGATTACATTGAATAGCTGTTGACTTACAGTATATTCCTTTTTTAATACCTAGGCTGTCAAATGTGCAATTATTCAACTGGACAACTAGCTACATGTAAGATTACTACTGTATTGCAATGTACTATTTGAAGCAATAATACATAATTAATCAATAGTTAACACCACCTTATAACTTTAAAACACATGATTTACTTACCAGTATTGTTCTACAATGTGCACATTTTTCTATATTTTATTTTATCTTCTTATTGCACATTTTTCCTTGAACTTATTTAGTTAATATACCTTTATTATATATACATTGAGTATGTAAGTCGCTTTGGATAAAAGTGTCTAACAAGTAACATGTCATGTAATGTATTATTCTATTTTAGTTTTTTTTTTTTAAATAGAGCAACTGTTACAAAACCAGTTTGACCTCAGGGTAAAGTATTAATGTTTCTGGTTCTGATTCAAGAATAGCTCGAAGTGAAAGATCTAAGTATAGGGAAACTCCTATTTCCAGTGATATTTTGAAACAGACTAATTGCTGTCTAAACTGAAATCTGTATTTGCGGTTTATTCATTCATAATACTTTTGAATCCTTTCAAAACACAAAATAGCAGCATTTGGTATTTGGTTTGGTAAAGGTATGAGTAACACGGAACATCATCTTAATGTATGAAGTTTTGAGTTAGCCTAATATGGTCAGCGTCATTCCCCAAAAAAGTTAACAAGTACACTTTGTGTGTTCTGAAACGGGAAAACATTTTACTGCAATGGATTGTTAACAGTAGAAAAGCAGCACAATGCTGGCTTAAGCTTTCAGTTTCTCAATTTAGAGCTCAGCATGACAGACTTGCCTCAATCAGTTTGCAGGGAGTCAATAAGTGTCTCTGCTTGGGTTTGCTTGTTGACTAATTTCTCTCAACCCATACTCAAACAAATCAGCAGCGTGCGTGGGGGTCATGCAAGCGGAGCGAATCCCTGGCAAAGAGCCGACCACTCTCTCAGCAGAAACAGCAGGAGTGTTTGGACTGTAAACACACCAACGCTGCCTCATCCATACATGCATTCATCCAGACATGCTGCACCAGGCTTTCCAGCTATGCCAACAACCCTCTCATGCTCACACACACACTTGTTTTGTTTGGCATGGTTCCCACCAGTGGTAGAATGTAACAAAGTAAATTAATTCAAGTACTCTATTTAAGTACAAGTTAAAGGTTTTATAGAATATTTTAAATGTAATGTTACTACTTTACACTTCTACGCTATGACTACATTTTGGAAGCCAATATTGTACTTTTTACTCCACCACAATGATCTGACATTACCACTTACTATACAGTTTCAGATTATTAGCCAATCAAACTTGTAAATTAACTAATAAATAAACTAAAATATATTATTTTAAGTTATGATAACAATAAGCAGTATACAACATCATTCAAATAATTCTACCTTAACCACCTGTGATGAACAAATGTGTGCAAAAATAATCATAATTCAGTAGTTTAATGATTCAAAATTAGGCTTTTACAGTACACACAATAAATACTTCTCCTTGGGTGCTTTAGGTATACTTTGATGCCAAAACACGTGTAGTTTTTACACCAGTAAGATATTGAATGCAGTGGTATACCTTTTAACAAAGTACTATAACAATTGTGTAAATATACTTTCACTTTTTGCTCCTAACCATGCAAACAGCCACCTACATACAGTACATGGGAAGAAAATCAAGATAAAAGGGGACTGGTGCAACAGAGAAGTAATAATGATAGGATTGAGGTGCACATCTACAGGTACACTACTGTACATGTGTGTGTGTGTGTGTGTGTGTGTGTGTGTGTGTGTGTGTGTGTGTGTGTGTGTGTGTGTGTGTGTGTGTGTGTGTGTGTGTGTGTGTGTGTGTGTGTGTGTGTGTGTGTGTGTGTGTGTGTGTGTGTGTGTGTGTGTGTGTGTGTGTGTGTGGGTATGAGAGAGTTCTGCAGGGACGTCCCTGTTCTTTAGTATGTGGCTCTTACGACAGCCTGGGGTGGCACATCCATCTCTGTCTTTTTGCCAAATTTGATTTTAAATATTTATCACACCATACATCTTGGCTGAAACAAATTGCTGGCAAAGTGCTATTGTCTGTGAAACATGTAGTAAGAAGGATGGAGGCTTTAGAGGGAACATCAATGTTTCATTTGGTCAAATATATGAGTGGGAAGTGAATGTGCAACTACAGCACTTTTTCAAACAGGAAGATGATATAGAAGTGAAACTTTTTGAAGTAAATAAATTCCTAAAGGGCAAAGGTGGAGGCAAGTATTTTAAGATGTAATGTTCTCAGCACTCTTCTTTTATAGGTCTGCCTACTGTATGTGCACATTTATATTCAAATGACATCTTTATTACTTACACTGCCAATAATGTAAACGTGTCCATGTATGTCCTCCACATCTTTTAAATAGGAGTTAGGTTGTTGAAGGTTTTTAATCAAGCTTCATGAATGATAAGATTCATTTATTTTCTGTTTAGGCAAATAATATCTTAAGACGTGTGACAAAGTAGGACATTCGCAGCAATGTATGAGGAAGATTTGCTGAAATTATAAGGGGCTTCAGTGCACATAAAATAGTACATTATCACATAACAAAAGGGACATGAACAAATACTTTATTGTCTACTCAACCATACAGTATTCAAAGAAAAATAAATGCATGTATGTTCATAGAAATTATTTATGGGAGTTGACACATTGACAGAAGCTACTATTCTTTAGGCAGGCTCCAGTCTCCTGCTGTGCTGCTAACTTCACATTTCCAATTGTCTACTACTTCGCTTATTCTATTTAAAAAATAAACACCATTTTTGCATGTGTTACTTTTATTTAAACTGGAGATGTAGTGCAGCTCAGTGCAGCCACCACATCATATTGTTAACCATGGAGCAGCTCTTCTGAGTGCCTCGCTCGGGGGCATTTGGACAGAAGCTGTTGAGGGACCTGAGAGCAATACTCATTCATTTTCACATTGCTCTGTGCAGAGAAACCAATATATTCTACCTGCTGCTGCCAACTGTTGGAGTAACACCGGACCAAATTCAGAGTAATGGCGGCTTTCGCAGCAAACAAAATATGATGTACAGCTTACCTGGGGACAGGGAAGTGTTCCTCTGCAGGATGATGTCAAAACAGCAGCAGAGCCGAGTGACTCAGATATTGTTCCACTTTTCTTACATCGCTGTGCTTAAGGGAAGGCACTGCCACAGATGTGATTTACAGCATTGGTTTCACTCTGAACAACACACATTGCTGTAATGCATGTATCACATGATACGAAACTGTAATAGTAGAGTATTTTATGTCAATATCAGAGAGTAAATATACATGTATATATACAGCTATTCAGAGGCAGGAAATCATAAATAACTGATGGGCTGGGTTATTTTGGTAAAGATAATCACACACTCTGGA